TCGTTGTGCGTATAACGTAATTACTCACCTAAAAACATGTGGTATGAAAGGTATAGGAATTCCGAAAAAAATAATAGTGAACCCAACATTCCACATTGACATAATTTTCTACAAGGAATCGTTCAAGTATTACTAAGCAGATTTATTACAATTATTACCCCCCCATCCCCCTTGTCAGAAAAGTAAGCAAAGCTCTTACCCCCTACCCCCATGCTTACGTAAACATTTTGCAATTAATGTAAAAAAATAAAAATACTACCTATGACGTAATCATCATCCAGACTCCCTTGCCCCCCATGTCAACCCAAAATAAGCAAATGAACAACCCCCCGCCCCCCTATAGTGCTTACGTAATACTTGAACGGCCTCCAAGGAGTATTTGAATTGGCAAAATAATAATTAAGTGGTCTTAATAATTAAATGTTTGTTGATAAACAAGTGTTACACTGCACAATGGTATACTGCACAGAGTATAATTTTTATTACTTTTCGAATTCCTACATGGAATATTTGCGATAACATTCTTGTACCATTAGCCATTATTCCATTGCACCTATCAGCCTTTAATGTTTCACAGATATTACTCTGCAACAAAGAAATATGTACTTCCTTACGACGAGCAAATATGTCCCCTGTTCTTCAAGCCTTTTCATCTAACTACACAAGTTAAGTTGAAATTTTTTCCGTAGGAAAGTCACGTACCGGCCGCCGGTGTTGTCCCAGTGTGCGTGTTATCACGCATTCCGCTCCGTGCGTGTTTCTTCTCTGTGTCCGTGCGTGTACTTAGCCGTGTACTTGTCGGAATGACGGCAAGTACAGCTGCTCCGAGCCCCAAAAAGCCTCTGTTCGCCTGGTAAGGAGAAGTGCGCTACAGTAATACATACGCTGGCCGTGACTCCACATATTGTGTACACTTTACACTTGTGATGTTTATTTACATGAGGATACAAGCAGAGATGCACGCCGAATTTCTCTGTATGCGCCGGGGAGATTTCGATGTGGTCGTCGATACTCGGTAACTATCATTGTATTGACGAGCGATAGCACACGAATCCATAGAAAAATTTCTGACGGAAATGGAAATGATGTGATAAATATTTTAGCTAAATATAAACATGTCTTATTGGTATTCCATTTTCCGTTAGACTAATCATAAATCTACTCGAATTCTGTTTCACTTCGCTAAGAAACTTAATTTTGAACATTTTTTTAAAAGTCACAAATTCATCAAAATTAATATAAGCAAAGTAATACGTGAAATAATCTACTCTACTTCTGTTTCACATTGCTAAAAATCCCATTTTTGGACAAAGTGGGTCATTAAGTTACAAATTCATTAAAATTATTATTTCATAGTCATATACCTTATACAAACTTATTAGTAATTTTACGGTATACTTCGCTTTTTTTCGCAAATTCATCAAAATTGATGAATATATAAAAAGATTGTTTACATATGGAGCTAAAGGGCCAACTCAGACTATGTAGTCTAACAATAAGGGTTTCAAATTTGACTCTAAAGTTGGCATTGGGGGTGGGCAGGTGTACGAGAAGACTGAAGAGTATGGAAGCTTTTTGAGTTAATTATTAATTAATTTAATTAATCCCTCTTAGTAACTTGCATATCTATTAATGCATAAATCCATAAATACTTGTTAATTTAACTTTTCTCAAATATAAAATCTTATTTTAGTTTTCAAAAATTGTTTTTTAACTTCCCGTAGGGTAAGTTATTGTAATGGGCCGAAAATCGAAATTGAAAATGTTTTCATTTCTCGACGTTTTGAAGGTTTCTGAACATTTTGGCATACCACAGAAAAAATGGATGTGTGTGTGTATGTATGTATGGATACAAATTTCCAGTCACGTTTTCGGGCGCACGGATCGACCGATTTGAATGGTTCAAACAACATTCGATTTCTATTGATAGGGAGATGAGCTGATTAGTTTTTGGCAAAGGCAGGTCTAGCAGTTAAGAAGATAAAGAGAAAAGAGTGCAGAAAATAGAAATCGAGTTTTTTAGAGCACGAAGCATCCGAGTTGAATGATCTAAAAAACATTCAATTGGTAATGATTGGGAGAAGTGTTTATTAGTTTTTGGCAAAAGCAGGCCCAGCCACTTCGAAGATACAGAGCTAAATGTGCAAAAATGGCAGTTTTTGAAAGAATTAAGCGTCCGATTTAAATGATTCAAAGAACTTTCTGTTTGTCTTAACAAAATAATTGATTTTGGAAAAAAAAATTGTTTCAACTTTTTTTTTCAAAAAAAAAAATGTTGTGTATCGAAAATAATTCAGATTTTATTTTTAATTCTGACTATAGTTCTAATATAGTTTAAACAAATAATTTCAACTTTGCAATTCAGTTTATATAATTCTTATAAATATTAGACAATGTTATAATATTAATAATATTCTATTTGAAAACATTCAGTATTCGTCGAATATTTCGTTACGGTACGGGAAGTTCCAGCAATTTGCCTTAAAGCACGATGCCACTAGTTAGTTGCCTTGGTTGAACATAAGTTCTAATTATCATTATTGAATAATTAAATATATAAAATTAAACAGCATTAGCTACAATTTGTCTATTTTAGTCCTGACTAATTATTGTTCCGTCTCAGATTAGAAGACTCACCGATCCGTTGTTTTTTCCTGGTGATTTTTTTGAAAATATTGCTTTAAAATAACAAATATAGTAAAACCTTTAAAATTCATAAAAATTAGGTTTTGTGTTACTAAATTAAAATCAAAGTTTCTAAATTGACATCAAAATTTATGAACACATTTAAGGAAAAATAATTTTCATATGCGTGACACATAACCATTGACCGTAAAAATCATCAGTAAGGTCATTAATAACGAATTTATACCAAAATTTATTTCTTAATTTTATTTCATCCAATTTCTATTGATTTGCGAAGTTCATATCTGCACTGCTCGAAGTAAATAGGTAAGATAGCACCAGCGAACCCGCGCCGCCGCTGCGAAGTTACCAAGTGCCCCTTGCACGTCGCTCGTTCTAATTCCTCCGTTGATCGAAGTAACTTCCAACACAAGTGTCCTCTGGAGTACACACTCCCAAAAGAGGTGCAAGTTAACCGCGTCTCGGTATCAGGGCAGCAGACGGCTTTCAGCACTCACACACGACTTTTTATCACAAAACGCTATATACAAATGATGTTGCTTACATGGCCATGCGTTTGTGTATGGTGTATGGTTGCACTCATACGGCGGGATCTTCTCGAGTCGTCGTGGCTCACACTGGCTAGCGATTACGCGGAACGTTATGATGGTGTACGAAACGAATAGCTCCATGTCGACGCGAACATGTTTTGACGTTTTGAAAATATTTAACGATTCTGTCAATATCTATTAAATGGCTTGTTGCTATAATATAGAGATTGTATAGTAAATTCAAATATCAAGAGTAATTTATTCGTCCATTATTATTACCGAAACATTTGATTGCTTTGCATTATAAAAGTAGTGGGGCGCATGGCATCGTGCCTTAAGGCAAATTGCTGGAACTTCCCGCACCAATTTTTTTTTTTTTAAAGATTAATATTTTTGAAAAAAATTACTCTGAAAAAAATAGATTTTTGAGAAACTATAAATTTTTGATAAAAATTTACTTTGAAATATTTTGGAAATTCTAAACTTTTTTTCAAAGCAATCGTACTGCTTTAACTACATAGAGACGAAATATTTAAGCGCGTAAGGGCCGCGTCGCCGTCTAACGGATAAACATTGGTACGGAACCCATAGGAATATAAACAAAGTTTATACTTATTATTAAAATTTCTATAAAATATCTGATAATTTGATGTGCATATGTCTAATGATCATTTTTGACCGCCAAATGGCATTTTTTTTACTTTTTTTACAATATCTCCGAAACCGCTAGAATTGCCTTCATGAAAATTTTTAATTTTTTTTTAAATTATTCAAATCGGACGCTCCGTTCTCTTAAAAACTGAGTTAC